TAAGTAGCTTCTTCCATTTTATAATAAGATCCTGTTTAAACAATCTGAATTATTTGAGCTTTAAAAAATAACAAACTCCCAAACAACTTGTATCACACGTTTCTGAACTTGTAAAACCCCTGCTTGTCTCATTACCATCACCGTTCCCTCCTCTTCCAACTTTGTATTCATGAAACAAAAGGTGAAAATCCCTGGAAAACTTGTTCAAACAAACTGCATGTGGTTACCGTGGAAACCGGAACAACATGGCTGCAGGTTAGACAGGCTCTCTGCTCTGAACATGTGGGACGGCAGCAGAGACGGCAAACGGTGGCAAGTGCTTCACCTCCCACTACAAGGATCTGTTTTGACAAGGCTGCGTAAGAAAAATTCAAATTAAACAAGTAGCTTTAGGCTGATTCCTGCATTCAGTGATATCTAACATTTCATCTGCGGCAGGCATTGAATCGTCTGTCAGTTTTATCTGTCTGCCTTTGCTCTCGTGTGTGCATGTATAAAGGATTTAATTAATGTTTGGGTTATGCTCTTTTGGCTTTTTGGTGTTAATTTCAATTAGAGTGAACAAATATCTTAACAGTCAATCTCGGAATCGCTCATTTAATATTTTGAATTCTTGTTTATTGTATTTTTTCATTAAAAAGTTGGACAAAATTTCTATTAAGGTCCTTTTTTTTTCCTTAGATGCACTGTGGGTCTTTATCTGGTGGAGGCTCCATTGTTTATTTGTCTCCATGGAGATATTATTGCTTTGGAATGTACCAGAATATGGCATTAAATGATCGGTCTTGCATTTATTGAATCACAGGTGTTGTTACTGCAAAGCTATAAACTTTAAAAAACACGGGTTCTTACCGTAAACGGGCTTGCTTCTCCACAGATCTAACTTGGTGGCACCGCTTTGTCATTATTAGCCAGGCTGAACCCACCTAGTGCCTCCGCTCAATTTCATTTCTCTCCAGCGACTAGGTCAAGAATCAGAATACACTCAACGGTTTACAAGAACCCCGGAAGTTGTAGACGAGATGGATGTTGACGAAGACAGACATTCTGCGTTGGCAATGATTCCCGAGATCAAGGATTTAAAGCCGGAACAAAGAGAACGTTTGGTGAATTTTATCAAGGGGAAAGACGTTATTGTCCTTCTTCCTATGGGATTTGGGAAAAGCTTAATATAACAGTTAGCTCCGTTAGCGGCGCTTTACATATGTCACGATCAAGTAGCAGCGATTGGTTAAATTAAAAGTACCCGCCCACCAATGAGCAAACGAATCCTAATGCTGCGAGGTCAGACGGTTTTTATTAAGTGAAACCGGCTCATGAATCAGGCTACGTCATTATGGATATACTATAAGATCTGTTTAATGCCATACTGTGAAACATTCCAGACACAGTAAAAACATATCTATGAACAAAAGCAGTAGAAAAGCTACACAATGAACCTTTAATTAATTAATTAATCATGGCATTTATATAGCGCCTTTCAAGATACCCAAAGCATTTGACAGTTCATTGTTCATTCCTTTAAAAAACATACTCTATGCCAGGGGTGTCAAACTCATTTTGGTCCGGGGGCCATATCCAACCTACTTTGATCCCAAAGTGTCCGGATCAGAAAACTCATGTCATATAAACCCCAAAAATAACAATAAGTTAAATATTTGTGCAGAGAAACACAAATCTATTACAGAAATCTTTTTTAACTGGTGAACTCTTTCTTATTGTAATATTATGAACAACCTGAAACTTGAAGAAAAACTCAATTTCAACACAATGTTTTAACATGAACTTGTATGTAAACAGGAATAAGTAAATTTTTCTTGTAAAATCCTGCACTTGGCTCCACTTTTCTCATGTTGGACATTTTGTTGATGAGGGTGTCACGGTCAACAGTCAAAACGATCGTCCTTTAAGAGCGTTTGGAAAGAGACAGGTCTTCATTTGTGCTGCTCTGGTGGGAGGGGCCACGTACAGAGACACTGGAGACACTGCTATGATAAACACCACAGAAAATTAACAAGATTTTAATAGAAAATATCATTAAAATATTTTAGTAGAAAATCACCCAAGGGCCACATTAAAGGTCTTGGAGGGCCGGATCTGGCCCCCGGGCCTTATGTTTGACACCTGTGCTCTATGCATTCAGTTTCTTTATCATTTGATCAAGTTCCAAATTCCACATACTGAAGAACAAAATCTTTTCTTAGTTGTCCTTACGCTCACTGATTTGAAGTCTGTTTTGTGTCTCAAATTACAATACAAACCGCTTCCCTCTCAATGAAAAGCTTTTGAATGCTTTGAGGTAGAGATTTATTATTGGCCTTAAATACCAGTTCCAGTGTTTGAAGGGCTACTATTTCTATAAATGTCAGTAGATTTGATATTTGAAACTAAGATGTGAGTGTATCTCTTACTAAAGCTGCACTTGTATTAAGGAAAGTTATTCATATGAGAATCAGCACATCCTGCAGGCCGAGGATTTGCTCTCAGCGCCCCAGAAGGAAGAAGCTAGAGTTGTAGAAAAAGTCAAGTCCCGGTGGTTTCTCTCCTCTTGACATTTGCGGTGGAGAGCTACATTTGAAAAGAATTGTAAGGAGGTCAGCGCTCAGTCAACTGCTGGCAAAACTCGGGTTAAACTACTTTTAAATATACAAGGAGAGAAGTTCAGAGTTCAGAGTTGCCGTGTTTGTGTACCTTAAGAGAGGTTTGAGGTTGGATAAATATGAGAATACAACAAAAAAACATGACATTATAATTCAATACAGTAAAAAAAAAAACATGTCATCCTTGAGCAGGCTGATGGAAATACTGAAAATATAAAATAAATGTGTATAGATAAATTGACCACCAATAAGTTCAGCAGATATAGCTTCACATGGTTAAAAAATCGTTCTTAAAGGTGCACTGTGTAACTTTTCAGGTTAGTTGTCCGTTACCATGGAGATTTATTTGCCTGTAGTGTTCCACAAAATGGTATTAAACTTATTTGAGATGCAGTTAGTCGATTATGGTTCTTTTTATTGCTCAAAAATATCTTTAAAAACATGTATTCTTACTCTGAGTGGGGTCGCCTCTGCACAGATCTCGCCTGTGAATTGGCCTTGTGTATGTCTAAAGTTTGATGCCATAATTTAGAAGCAATCACATCTACATAGAGACAAGTAAATGGCGGGCCCTTTACCAGAAAAGTTACACAGTGCACCTTTAAGTGATTTAAGTGAATTTCTTTATTACATCCACAACAGATGGCAGATTTTGTTAATGCACAAAGCTGGTGTGTTGATAAATACAGTATAACCTGCATAAGCCCAAATAAATGTCCATAATCCAAATATATTGTATCAATTCATTTTTACCCAGTTAAAGGTGCACTATGTAACTTTTCATGTGTGAGAATCACCACCTGCCTGTATCCAGATGAAGTTAACTTTATATACCGTATTTTTCGGACTATAAATCGCACCAGCCAAAAAATGCGTAATGAAGAAGAAAAAAGTATAAGTCGCACTTTTTTGGGGGGGATTTATTTTAGAAAATCAGAGACCAGGAACCAACATTTCATCTTGAAAATCGACTTCTAGTAATAACAGTAGAACAGAGAACAACAGACTGTTAACGTCACATATGAACAGTTCTTCAGATTAAACTATAAACAACAGAACAAGTTTACCAAACTCTCCATGTTACTCCAAAACACTAAATTCATTAAATTCTTCATCCTCGTTGTCACTTCTGAACAACTCCGCGACCTCCGGAGGTAAACAGAGCGCCACTTCCTCTTCTGTGTATCTGTCGTCAGACTCAGACTCAGTTCCAGTCAGAATTATTTCGGCCTTTCTGAATCTCGACCATGGATCTATAGTTCTATGATCCCGACAGGATGGTTTTGGTTGTCACTAACGTTAAATTTAAAATTGTTCAGTGATACAGAAGTAATGGTGTGATCGTCTGACATGATACAAACAGGACAGAGGCTCTTTCTGGAGGAGACATGCGCAGTAGAGTGAAGTGACAGTGGTACAGGAGTAACAGTAGTTGCAGATACTGACACACAAGACTAGAGCGAGCGCCCCTCATGGCTGTAAGTGTGAACATTTTAACACTGCATCGGAGTATAAGTCGCAGAACCACCCAAACCATGAAAAAAAGTGCGACTTATAGCCCAAAAAATACAGTATTCAAGATGTATAGCAGTCTCTATATTTTGTTCCCCTATTATTAGATATATATCCTCTTATACTAAATACAAATTCCACTGAAAACATGAATTCTCTTTGAGCAGGGTCGCCTCTCCACAGATGTGACCTGTGACTTTTGGTGTCACCTGATTGTTGATTAAAATTAATACCTTTAATACCATGTACTAAACATAAAAAGCAATAACATCTCCATGGAGACAAGCAGGTGACAAAACCTCCACCAGAAAAGTTCCATAGTTCACCTTTAAATAAAAATCAAACGTGTCTAGTGCAAACGCGGCCCTTGATCACTCTGGCTAACAGATCGTCTCCTCACTCAACACGTTATATCATTATTAGCATCACTGGCACTCTTCCTAATTAGCTCTCCCTGCTTTATCCATCTTTACCTGCCCTTTTTCACGCTCCTGGCATCAGCTGCTGCTCCAGATGTGCCTGCACGTTTCACCATAGCGTGTGCTGCCCCCTGTTGGTCCAGCGACACCACTGCCACCGCCAAGGTCACGGAAAGAGAACGCTCCTCCAGACATTATCCTATGGGGATTACCTGCGTATGTGTGTGTGGATAGGTAGATCTGCTGTTTGTTGTTCTTGTCTTAAGTATGTCTTTGGAGGGTTAGCAGGCTATTATCATTGGAATAAACATTGGCTAAGCTCCGTGTCCTTCCTGCCCTTGTTATATTAGATAAAAGTCCGTGCTGTGGACCCGGGTTTTAAAGCAAATATGTGTTTTGGTTCGTGTTTTGGTGTTAATTAGCGCGTTGCTAATGGCTGATCATTTGTTTTGTTTTGTTTGTTTTGAAGATACCTCATACCCTCCCTGGACCGCTCGCACGCCGGCTTCTACAGATGCATCGTCAGGAACAGAGTGGGGGCACTGCTGCAGAGACGAACGGAGGTCCAAGTGGCATGTGAGTATCAGCTGCTTAAGTAGACACAGAAATTAAAGCTGAAGTATGTATCTTTTTTCAGTTCTTGGCATGATAATTACAATATGCACTCAAATCTTTAATATATGAAAGCTGGAACAATATTTTTTAACTGTCAGTATTTATAGTGTGTACATTTTCTTTGCAGTAGTGGAATATTTGTGGTTATTTTTTGGCTATATGATAAGATTAGAGCTGTAAAATGTTGAATAAATAACTTTTATGACTTATTATAGATACAAACTAATTACTTAAAGTGTTGTGTTTTGCCTTTTAGTTATTGCAGCTCATGCTTTTTTTTTTAATAGATATATTGTATAGGGTTGTAATGATGTCCAAATCTCATGAAACGATATTGTCACGGTATGAACCTCAAGGAACAATAGTTATTGCGATATCGTGGGGAAGCTCACGATTAGAGATGTAACAATATCCAAATCTCACGGTACAATATTTACACAATAAACATCTCAAAGTATGATATTTATTGTGATTTTTTTGTGGAGGCTAAACAGCGAAAATTGTGAATATGCTACTTTTTCCTCTTAAAATGCCTTGACAACACTTAATCCAAAGAACTAAGACTTAAAAGTGCTTAGAACTGTTATTTCTTCTTGTAGTCTGCACTGAAATGGAGCAAAGGATCATGGTCTATGTCAGACATGTCCAAACTATGGTCCAGGGGCCAAATGCGGCCCTCAGACAAATTTTTCTTTGCCCTCAGGCTTCCAGGTGAAATGACCCAAATTAACTTGCATCAATTAAAAATTTAGTTTTTACTGCAAGTTTTTTGAAAATCTACCTTGATAAAGCGAATATTGAATATTTAGTGTGTGGTTTTAAGGATCTTAGCATGAATAAAGGCCCTCGATCAGTCCTCTGCTTCGTCTGTGTTTAGATATGTGGCCCTTGATGAAAAAAGTTTGGACACCCCTGGTCTATGTAGTTCGTTCTGTGTTTTTTTAGCTGTTTCTGCACCATAACTCTTAATTTAATCAAAGAGACTTGTAATTTGATATATTGTGAAGGTCCATTATATTATTGTGAGAACTTTGACGATACGAAATCATGATATTTTGGTTATTGTTACATCTCTAATATTGTACATTTAGAACAATTTTTGGGGGATAATTCTGATTAACTACATAGTTTGGTTTCAGTATTATCGTTTGTAGTGTGTATTTGCAGCAATATATCACACCTCAAAAATTGTTGTCGTGACAGGTTTAGTTGATGTTGTTGATTGCATTGCCATGAATATTCCACAGTATGGCATTAAATGTATTAAAGCAGGTGACGCCTCAAGGCCAAGTTAGAGAGGGCAACGAGACAAAAACGACAAAATATTTTATCAGAAGTGGCTTTCGTTTAGATGGTGATGGCGTTTTTGGGGCTTAAAAACACAAAAATCTGAAACCACCCTCCAGAAAAGTTGAAAACATTCCGCTGTAGCATTTCCGTCTACACTGCCCAAGACGCAAAACTCTGGTCAGATCTGCTCACGTCGTGTACACGTTTACGTCACATACATCACCACCGAGCGTCACCACCGAGCGTCACCACCGAGCGTCACCACCGAGCCACCTGGCATGCACACACGATCGAATTCCACACACTTTTGCGTCACCGTATGCATGCAGATTTCACGCGGAATAAAAACTGAAGACGCGACACCACTTTGGCGTCTTCTGTTCAGACCATCATCATATAAACGTAGCCACAGTGTACTTTAATTTACATTACAATACAGAGAAAGTCATGGAAAAGTTTGTGTATTTCCGTGGTTTATAACAAAGTCAACAGTTAAAATTGTTTACTCGATTTACTGTTGGAATTATATATTTTTACTGCACCAAATTGCTATGGCTTTTGAAAACACTGATCTACAAAAGAGGACATTTTCAAATTTTTGATTATTATAATTAATAACTATAACTAAATATTCAAAATGTAAGAAAAATCATTAAAAGTAAGGCCACTGTTTTTGCCCAAATTTACATTTTAAATTATTTTAATTACAGATAAAAGTTTTGCCTTCCTTGCATTCTGAGGATTAGGTTTCCTAGTAACAATAAGAGCAACATAAAAGTAAAAGTTGAAGTATATTATAGCTGTATTTGATTATAGTAGAGTAATTTATAGTGTTACTGTAGTTTTGCTTTCGCTTTAAGACAGAATAAGTCGAGTAATTTCCCCGGGGCAGTTTTGAAGTAGTGCGTTTCATAGTGTCCGTAAGTGTAATACAGTATTTCTAAGGCTGTATTTAGCACACAGATTTCTTCATAGTTTGGTGTCTTTGTTTCCTGAGTGTCTATAGGGAGCGCCATCTGCTGGAGGGGTGAACCACACACCCGCACCTCCCCGAGAGCAGCACCAACCCGACAGCTGGTCCACTCAGCGTCCTCGTTAGATTCATATTGTTTTCCGTGGCTGTTTTTAACTTTGCTTCATTTAAATATGACCGCTGCTTATTTCATTCACACGCTTTGTCAACAACAGATGTCTCTTAGATGGAGGAAAAAAACATGTCATTTTAGCTGCGGAGGCTTGCTCGTGTTGTTAACTTGATGTGAGATTTACCTGTAAACAGCTCTGAGCCGGGAACGTTTATTGTAGTATTTAGGAGAGATTCATTCATTCAGATTTTCATAATTTTAAAAATATGTGGTGCAAATGAATTCAATTTATTAAAAATAATCTATGGTAATATAGAACCTCTTGGCTAATTTCGGCTATATGCAAATTTTAAGAGAACTATAGGACAGCAGTGTTGTGAAGATAAATAAAAATACACAAAATGATGAAATTATTAAAATATGCAAGCACAAGGATTTAGACAATAATTTGAAATTGCAATGAACCTTAGTAGAGTTTTAATTGCCCAAAAATAAATTGAAAAACATGGATTTTTACATACCTAATTTTGGCTTTATGCAAACTTTAAGACAACTATAAGACAGCAGAGTGGTAGATTATAAAGATTAATAAATAGATGTGTAATAAAATACTGGTCAATATACATTCCCACCCTCACCTATGGTCATGAGCTCTGGGTAATGACTGAAAGGACAAGATCACGGACACAAGCGGTCAAAATGAGTCTCCTCGACAGGGTGCCTGGATGCTCCCTTAGAGATAGGGTGAGGAGCTCAGTCACACGGGAGGAGCTCGGAGTAGAGCCGCTGCTCCTCCACGTCGAGAGGAGCCAGCTGAGGTGGCCTGGGCATCTGTTCCAACGCCTCCTGGACGCCTCCCAGGTGGCAGGTGGGCAGTGTTTCGGGCATGTCTCACTGGAAGGAGGCACCAGGGAAGACTTGGGACACGCTGGGAGGACTGTGTCTCTGGGCTGGCCTGGGAACACTTCGGGGTCCCTTCGGAGGAGCTGGAGGAAGTGTCTCAGGTGAAGGAAGCCTGGAAGTCCCTGCTTAGACTGCTGCCCTTGTGACCCAGCCCCGGATAAGCGGAAGAGAATTGATTGCTGGATGGTGTAATAAAAATATACAAAATGAATATGCCAACTCAAGAATCCAGACAATAATATGAAGTTGGATTTAATTGCCCAAAAATACACTGAAAACTGTAGATTTTTACTTGGCTAATTTTGATTATATGCAAATTTTAAAACAGCTATATGAAAGCAGGATGGTAGATTATGAAGACAAATTCATAGATAAAAAAAAAAAATAATAATAATAATAATAATACACAAGTACAAGAACTCAGAAAATAATTTGGTTGATTTTAATGACCAAAAAATACATTGAAAACCGTGCGTTCTTACTGTGTTGCATCTCCTGTTACGTTTAATGCAATACTGTGGGACATTCCAGGCAAAGCACAAACATCTCCATGGAAACAAGCAAGTACCAAGCCCTCCACAGGAAAAGTTACATGATGCACCTTCAACACAACACATTTAAACAGAAAAAGTGACATAATATAGGACCCGCGTTTTCATTTTTCTATAATGAAATGAGTGAGTACATAAACACAGTCACAGTGTTTACTACCAGCTGTTGCTCTATAATGGTGCGACAGAGTAAATCACCTGTTTAACAAATGAAGGATATTAACAGATAATGGAACGCAGCAGCACCCACTGGTCATTCACCAAACTGACTGATACACACTTGTACAGAGAGGAAGTACGCGCCCATATTTGGAGACAGTGTATTAATTTGATATCCCCCTATAGAAATCATTAACGATCTTCATTTCAGACCAGTACTGCATGTAGTTACTGTCAAAGAAACGCAAGTAAAAATGTAGAAAAAGAATCAAAAACAAGCAATCAAATACTTTAATAGTGAAAGTGAATGTTTGACAGTTCAGAACTTAAAGGTGAATTGTGTAACTTTTCTGGTAAAGGGTCCATCAAACACTTTTCTCCATGAAGATGTCATTGCTTTATCTGGAATGTTTCACAGTATGGCATTAAAGCTTTCTGTCTTCATGGAGATCGAACCAGACCAAGTTACAGGTCAAATCTGTGGAGAGGTGACCCCGCTCACAGTCACAATGTTGTTTTTTCTAGGTATTTTTGAGCTATAAAACCAGTTGTGATTGAATAAATGTATGGTAGAGCTGTTTAATGTCATACTGTGGAACATTCCAAGCAAACATATCCATGGAAACAAGCAAATGATGGACCCCAAAACAAAAATTTACACAGAGAATTCGTGTATCATTTGTTCATTTGTTTTACAAAATAAACCCAAAGTAAAAGAACAAAAAAACAACTATTTTCTTGGATAACGGCCGGTTTCCCGTTTCCGTGATTTAAACTGCGATGCCGGACTTTTGCGCTACATACGGACTGAACCAGGACTGAACCTGGACTGAACCAGGACTAAACCAGGACTGAACCAGGACTGAACCAGGACTAAACCAGGACTAAACCAGGACTAAACCAGGACTGAAACAGGACTGAAACAGGACTGAACCAGGACTACAACAGGACTGAACCGGGACTAAAACGGGACTAAAACGGGACTAAACCAGGACTACAACAGGACTAAAACAGGACTACAACAGGACTAAACCAGGACTAAACCAGGACTCAAACCAGGACTAAAACCAGGACTAAACCAGGACTACAACAGGACTAAAACTAGGACTGAACCAGGACTGAACCAGGACTGAACCAGGACTGAACCAGCACTGAACCAGGACTAAACCAGGACTGGGTGTCGGGACAGACCCGGAGATACACCCATGTAGACTGTGGGGTGGTCAGGACTGAGACCAGGACCAGACCGGGACTGAGACCAGGAATGAGAAAAATACTGAGATCGGAACCAGACCAAAAACAAATCATTATCTGTTTTTTAATTTTGGTTTTGGAGACAAATAATGAAGAAAATAGTTGTTTTTTTTCCCTTTTCATATGATACACAGATTATAGTGCACCTTTAACCTGATAAGAAGAATTTGAGCAAAAATCTTTCTAATTTGAAAAATACGTTTTAAGTTGCCTATTATTATTTTGTTATTTCCCGCAAACATTTGTCAGTGTTTTTTGTTGACAGCGGCTTCTTTAGGAATCAAAATGTATGGTATAAGTTATGATAGCAGTAAAAATGTCAAACACAGTACTTTTTGATTATCCTTTTTATATATTAATAGTTCATGTATTGTTCAAACAAACTACCTGTACGCACAATTTGCACGTGTCAAATCATGTTTTCGTGAACTTGATCTTTTGTGTTGTATGTGCTTTGCAGTCATGGGCAGTTTCGAGGAGGGCGAGCGCGCTCAGTCCGTCTCCCAGGGCGACGGAGCAGTGATCCCCGCTCCACGGATCCGGAGTTACCCACAGCCTCAGGTCACATGGTACAGGGACGGACGCAAGATCCCCCCCAGCAGCCGCATGTAAGTCTCGGATACTACAGTACATACACACCGCACGCACGTTTCTCTCGAGGTTTAAGTTTCCCAAAACGACGACGTTATTGGCTGTTTTTGAATTATTGGTTACCACAATGTCTTAAAGTATTACTAACATTGTTTATCGTTATTGCTGATTACTGATTGGGGATGTAACGATATCCAAATCTCTCGGTACGATATCCCGATATTTTGGAGAATCTAATATAACTGTAGATGGGACACTTTTTTGCTTTTAAAATACCTTGACAAGATTTTAGTGTGAATTATTTCCATCATAATCCCAAAAATTCAAGTAAAAACATATTTCTTCAAGTTGTCTGCACTGAAATGAATCATGGGATATGTAGTTCTCGATGTTTATAAGCTGTTACTATTAAAAACCATGCATTTAAGCAAAGGAACTTGTAATTCGATATATTGTGACATGCATGATATTATTGTGAGACTTTTGACAATACAATATTGCGATATTTTGGTTATTGTTACATCCCTATTTGATAGTCAACCCGTAAAGTTCATGAACAGAAAAATTGTTTGTATCACTCAGGAGGCAATTGCTATCAGTGATTTCTGGAAAGTTCCATATGTAACCTTGATATTTTGGTGTTTTTAGTGATATTTTGGTGATATTTTATTTATATTTTATTTATATTTATTATTATTTGTAATTATTATTTTTATTTGTTATTATTTTAATTTTATTTTTTTTATTTATTTTGTATTTGTATTTATTTATATTTTATTTATATTTTATATTTTATTTCGGTGACTTTTCTGAGTTTCTGCGTTATCACAGTTATCAGTCTTCGAAGTGTACAAACCCTGTGTTGAGAAATGGTCCACATTTTGGTTTAGGCCATGTGACGTCTTTGAGATAATGATTTAAACTCTGCAAAATAGTTTTCTAACTTGTTTATGTTGAATCCTCTGCAGTAATCAACTTGTATAAACTTGAATTCATGAGTTTGATTTGAGTTTATTTGACACGATTTTTAAAAACATATTCAGTTACTCTTTTTTGTTCCCGTTTCTCTTGTAAACTTTTCCTGTGCTCCAAAGTTCAGGCATAGTTCTGTGTCTGATCCGAAACAGTCCAGACACAAAAACGCAGACCTTGTACTTTGGAATACTTTGAAGATAATAAAAACATCATTTGTGTGATGTAAAAATCTGTTTGTGTGAAAGCTCAAACACAGAGAATGGTCTGCGTTTATAAAAAATATCCAGAAATGTGAAGCCAGGACTTAAAATTGTGGTGAAAAGAAAGTGAGAATTTGAATGTAGAATTTATATTACACATGTTTTGTCTAGGTTTATGTTTAATACCTCTATAAATACCAGTTTGGAGGATTAATTTTTGCTTGGCCAAGTTCTGTTGCTGTGTCTTTTGGCAGTGCACTTCACCCATCTTGCCTAGTGTGAATGTGTTGGTGATAGAGATACACCGATCCAGCTTTTTCCGTTCTAATACCGATTTCGATATTATGGCTTTAGAATTGGCCGATACTCGATATGAAGTGATACCAGAGCAGAGACTAAAAATTGCATTTTCTTTCAACACAAACCACATAAAATAATCGAAATGTATTTTTACAAAGCTGTTCTCTAGTTACAAAACACAAGTGTAATATTGTGAGAAAAGAAAATGGTCTTATTACACTAATTTACAGACCAAAATGGGCTATCAACTGAACCGTTATCTTGGAACCTATATCCAATCCGTCAAAGTGTTTAATGTTGTGCTGATATCCAATACCAGTATCATATTGGTGCATCCCTATCTGGTGATGGACATTTCCCTTCGTTTGTACCCATCTTTTACAAGCAAATTAATCTTTCTAAAAACTCTACGGTTTTGCGTGAAGAATCCCTCAGTCGTCCAAGTAGAATCCATGGCGAGGAGAAAATTCAGTTTGTCAACTGGACAAAAGTTAGTTTGGTTGAAGACGTTTCGCAGCTCATCCAAGCTGCTTCTTCAGTTCTGGTTGAATTGACCACATTGCTTGGTGCACTGCAGTGAACGCTACATTGAAGAAACTAAACGGCTGCTTCACAAGAGGATGTACCAACACAGACGAAAGAGCAACACAGGACCTCAGTCTGCTGTACATCTCCATTTAAAAGCATTTAAAAGCACATTTGAGGACACCGAGGTACAGATTTTAGCCAGAGAAAAGAATTGGTTTGAGAGGGGAGTGAAAGAAGCCATTTTTGTTAAGAAAGAGAATCCTTCTCTAAACAGAAATGGAGGCCTCAGACACCATCTGTCTCCTATTTACAACTCCATCCTCAAACCTAAATCAAAACAAACAAGAGAATAACAGGTGTAGTCAGGTCAGGTTCAGAGGTGTGGACGCTCGATTATGGACATGAATTGTTCTGCTAATTAGAGCCCACATCCTGTACAGGTGAATAGGCCGAACTAACAGAAACTGTAAACAAGTGTGTGTTAGTTTCAGTGTAGTTAGCTCCTCCCTGCAGATATAAGGAAGTGTCTGACCAGAACTGAAGAAGCAGCTTGGATGAGCTGCGAAACGTCTTCAACCAAACTAACTTTTGTCCAGCCGACAAACTGAATTTTCTCCTCTCTACGGTTTTGCGTTTGTGTATATAGTGAGATAAATGGAGTTTTAGGAGCTGATGCGCCAAAAGTGCTTTGATGATGATCATGGAGCATTCAGAGCAGCAGTCGCATTTCTTCTGGTGCAAACACTTTTCATGTGTTTGCATTTGCACACACAGCTCATGTATCAGAGACGAATGAGCTCGGAGGTCAGCAATTTTGCCACTTCTTTTACATATTTGTAGTGAGGCTACCCCGCTCCTTAATGTGCGTTTTTCAAGGTATTTTGACAGAAGCCAGGGGGGCTCATAACAAACGCAAACGCCGCAACAAATACAAATGCGACAATGCAACAAAAATCCACAACAAACCAAAAAATGCCACAAAACACTAAAAAAAGCTACAACGGAAATGACCGCGGGACTCTAATTTAATGCAATGCAGCATCAAATACAAATGCCACAACACAAACGCAAATGCCACAACACATCAAAAAGCCACAACACATTAAAAAGCCACAACGGAAGTGACCGGGGGACTCTATTTTCCAATGGACCAAGCAAAGCATTAAAGGATCAAGCGGGAAGTGAATGGGAAAAGTTGAAGAAGAACAAGAATGTGAAAAGTAACGAAACGGAGAAGTGAACAAAATTGGAAACGTAAGTAAAAGTAATTTATTGTTTTGTGGCCAGGTTGAATTGGACTATAGTCTGTCCGTCGCTTGGTCCGGTGGAAAATAGAGTCCTGCAGTTACTTCTGTTGTGGCTTTTTTTGGTTTGTTGTGACATTTGCATTTGTATTGTCGCGTTTGTATTTGTTGCACCGTTTGGGTTTGTTATGAGCACTCCCGGCTTCTGTATATTTTTAAGTAATACTTAAAACTGTAATGAAACAAATGCTACAGGTTTGAATCTAATCCAGGTGCTGCCCATAGTCTTGGTATAGTTATGACGGCACTCGATGGCGTATTTATGCGGGTTGACGTAGACGAAAACTTTTTTGAAAACTATGCTATGTGTTCAATGTTATTTTGGAAAACGGAAGGATGGAAATATTCGTTTCTCAACATACCCAGCTATGTGTAAAGGTAGCCTCAGTCAGTCTATCCATATCCAGCTATGGCCTGATATCACCGAGTATTGAATTGTAATGCTTCCGTGTTCATGATTATAATATGAACGCATTTGTATTTCTAATTACTTACAACTACAAGAGCATTTACGATTCAATTTGATCTGATTTGTTAAAGTACACATCCACTGTCAGAAGTACTTTGTCTGCTGCGTCTTTAAAACCTACACTCAGTCCTATTTTAAACCCAACTGTTGACTTCGCCCGGTGCAGACACATGCTCTATTCTTAGCTCTTACCTTCCGTTTAAATCCTGTTTCGAGCCCTACCGTTTATCATCAATCCTCATTTGGTCTCTTTTGTTTCCTGGAGAATTGGATAGTCCTTTTACCGAACAAGCTCCACATCAAAGCAGCCATGGCACTGCGTGAAATGTCTCCAGCCTTTTGTTTTCCCCGAATCCTCCGAAACCCAAACACACCAATTTTACCTGCGCGTCGTCTTCTTCACCCCTTCGCTCCTAATTCACTCGGAGGAGAATTTGAGCTGTCGTGGGTCACCTGTGTCCCTGCCTGGTGGGACTATAGACTTAAATGGGATGGTTGTTCTCGTCGCTATTGTCTGTACTTAGAGAGAAGAGGGCTAAATTGAGAGGCGTGGTGGAAAATTGGCTTGTTTCGGTTGCCGTGGTTTCAAAGGGCATTCCAGGAGGCCAACGTTAAGGGTTTATCAACACTGCAGCTGAATAACAATGAAAAAGAGTTAACAATATGTGATATAAGAAAGTTTGTAGACTGAAATAATGCCAGTCTATTGTCTCATCTTTTTATGCGATCATTTGTTCATCCAAAGTTAAGTTTTGGTAAAGTTTATGAATAAATCTACGTAAAAAGTCTCAGTTAAAGGACCCATATTACGTTATTTCCTGATTTAATTTCTAATGTTCATGACATCACAAGGTGGAACTGAGCCATGGAGATGTAGACAGACTCATAAAACAAACAAAATACAATTCCAGGTATGTTTTTGATGAGGTAACAACGTAATAACATGGTGTAATAAAGGAACTTTAACATAAAATATTTAGATGAAAACATATTTTAAGGGGGTATGGCACCTACTTGCAGTGTTGGGAAGTAACAGATTACATGTACCAGCGTTATGTAATACAAATTATGAGTAACTGTATTCAGTTACAGTTACTGTTTTAATGAGTGGTAATTGGATTACAGTTACTTTGTTGAAATAAATGGATTACATGGCGGTATTTTCCTGTTTTCACATTTTGGGCTAAACCAGGACTAAAACCAGGACTAAACCAGGTCTAAACCAGGTCTAAACTAGGACT